ACCGACCTGCAGGCCATATGCATTCTGTAATGAAGCGTGATTCGTGAAATATGCAGGCCGGTCTGTTGTAGCGCAGCATGGAAGAAAGGGTAAATGGTTGTTTCGCGAGATCGTCTGATGCTAATTCGCCAGGACTATAAGACCTATAAGTCTGTTCGCACGGACGGATAGCTCAAAGAAGGATGTTTTAAATTCTTTCTTTTAACTGAACGAGCGAAATAGACAACATTGTGGGCATTATAAAACAAATAGACTCTTTGCCTTGGGTATAAGTAGGGGAGAAAAGGGAGGGGAGAAAAGATAGGGCTAAAGAGATAGGATAAGATATCAGCAGATTTATATAGCCTTTCGTCCTCACGATCATCGATTGGGATGTTAAGTTCTCCTAAAAATGATCAATATAGATTCCGGCCACCATAAAGGAATTACAACAAAAAAATTCATCATGACAAATGGGAGAATTGTTACATCGAGTAATGGACTTTTTTTTCAAGAGGACACGGTACTCCTGCAATCAAATTGGTTCTAAGCGCGGTCCGGATTTTCCGATCTCTGACCACGATCACGGTAACGCGCGCACCCGAGGAGGGAGGGGGGGTACTCCCAAAAAAAATTTGGTGGCGGTGTGCGGCCCGCGTCCCAAAACCCTTACCCTTTTTATGACTGAAATCTGCGATTTTCCCTACCCTATTCATGACCTGACCAAAAATTCGATAGCCGGTTTATGACAGTTGCGTCTGACACAGTTGCCCTAAACATAAGTTCTGAAGGGCTTTTGCTTATGGTCTTATCAATAATGATGAAGAAGTAACTTCTTCTAAACAACATACCCAATTCAAGAATAGAGTACAAAAACCACACCCTATTTAAGACCAAAATCGATAGCCTATTTATGACAAAAACGGCTGAAAAACCACACCCTTTGGGGCCGCACGTACCTATATAGCACACATAAGGGAGTACCCCGCCCCCCGGGCGCGCGCACAACAAAAGTGATTTTAGAGAAAGAGAGAGAGAGAGAGAGAGGAAAATATAATAAGTCAGTACTTACCGGGAAATAGTATATATGTATTTAGAAGACGCGTGTCAAGATCGGAAAAAAGAATTACAGATATTTCGACATTACAAAGCAACGATTAAAGTTTTTAAAATTTCTTAGCCTGTGTGGAGAAGTCTACTACTTCTTTTGAAGTCTGTAAGCAGGTTAGCACCATGTTAGAATTTTAGTAGTTCGAAAATTCAAATTCAAAAATTCAAATAAAAAACTAACTAAATACATACCAACTAGTCATGAATTGTCAAATTCTGCTTTAACGGACGCCGTATCAAGCGACTGGCATTCAGCGATATTCGACTGCACCGAAAACTCTCTGCCTATTGCTGTCGCAATATTTACACACTTTAACAGAAAAAGTCTAAAAAACAAACCACCAAAATGTATTTGCGTGTGTTGTTGAAGTCCAGCTTGAAACACTTATGTTCCACATTTCAGTCTGAGGTTCGTCTTTTTGAATGCCTTGCCCATCGAAGACTGGACAAACTGACCCACCACTGTTTTAACTTCTATTCTGTTGGCGCATTTGGCGCGCATGTAGGGCGCATCCCATTCACCTTCCCATTAGGCTAAAGTTTGCCTTATGGGCGGGACCCTAACTCAACATCTCCACATGTTTCCAAATTTCACTGTAGGGCGCTGGGCACAAATCGATCTGGAGCATCGATGACTGATGTTGCTTCGTGAAATGTAAGCGATGTTACTACAGATCGTTATTTGGATCGCTGTCATTTCCATCGCTATCAGAAGTCAGCCATGGCGTGGGATCGTAGTCGTAGATCTTCATTTCCTCTTCCAGAATGTGCTGTCCGCTGGCCACGAATGAAGCGAATCTGGAAATCAAGAGCGGTGTTACAAAGCAGTCGAACGCAAAAATTCAGCACCACTCACGTTTTCGTTGCGTGTAATATTGTACGAGTTTGAAGAGTAATACGAAAGAGGCTTGAAAAACCGAGATACAGCTATCGGAAAACAAAATACGAGGTGTTCAAGCTGATGGATAACAATAACTAAATTTTCTATTGGGAATCGTCGTACAAATCGTAAGTTTTCAGTAAATGCCTTTAATACGAGAACATTTCACAGATTTCAGACTTTTAATAGCAGCAGTTTTGGCCGGGACTGTTCGTGCGCAAGACGTTTGTCCGTTGTCAGGAGCGATGTCACCTTATGTCGACTCCTGCTATGGGACTGTCTTGAGTCCATCATAGGTTTGTCTCCAGCTTCAGACAGCATCTCAAAGAGTAACGAAACGTTGAATTGTTTTGATCACTAATTCTGCTTGGTTCTACACAGGACGTTCTACAGTATATGGCATCACAAGCCGAGTCGAGTCCATGCTGGACAACGATTAATGAGTGTTTGAAATGCGTGCAAAACAACAACGTTTTATCAAGATATTCCATATTTCAGTTAACCTTAGACTGAAGTTAGAACATGTAGCTCAAGCTCTAGCACTAATAATGGGCCTTTAGGAACGTTCATGGGAATTTTGTTGTCATTTAGGGACTGTTGAGTGCTCTACAAAACTGACAGTGACACTATATACCGTTTTATCTGCTTTGAGCTTCTCTTGATTGGTTAAAACGTTTCAGTGTAAAAGCGCAAATTTAATCGCCGGAAGATGTCATCTGTAACAACGGCATTCAAGGCATGAAACTACACGTCAAGTTACGACCAGATATTTTAACGTCAAGTTTAGTGTCGCCATACCTGGAAGGATGCTTTAGCCTGCTAACCACTTGCCACGTGTTACATTCGGGACTGTTACAATATTCTCTCAGATCGTCCAAAGCTCGACTTGTTTCCTGGGATCCTTGGATAACATATTCCTCCTGTGATAGGAACTTGTGTTTTGGAGGGAAGAAGAAGTAATAGACTCTGTAGGAAACCCTGCAGGAAAAGTCAAAAATCAAAGTTACTAAAGGAGACAGGTGTCGGTGTCTTTCCAATTTACGTGTCTTTCTCAGTTTGTAAATAGCCAACTGGTTTGCCCCGGGCCAGTTGGGATTCTTAACAAAGTTATGTTCAATTTGAATTATTTGTTTCAGTTGTTTGCTAGGCGCCACTAGCCTTTGTGCTATTAACACTGCCGACGGTAAATATACTACTTTATTTTATTTATTTATTTATGTATTTATGTATTTATTTATTTATGTATTTACGTATTTATTTATTTATTTATTTATTTATTTATTCATTCATTCATTCTGAGTTGCCTTTTGTCTGTGCGTCAAAACGAGTCGTGCTGCTGCGTTAGATGAGAAATACGTTTCCAGATATTTTTGGCCACATCTTAAGGGTCGTTTTTTAGTGGTTTTCGTTGCAAGGATACAGATTATCTTATAAGACGGAATACATCTATATCAGGCCCTGGTTTTTCGAAAGGTGGATAATGCTATCCAATGGATAAATCACTATCCAGTGGATGGCGTAGTTGGTTTTGTTATGTACTGTTATTACTTCAAGGGGCTCTGGAAGCCCTCTAAGAGAACATGTGGTTACTGATAGTGAACAACAACAATGGTGCAAAAAAAGAGTTGCGGAGTTTTAGTTTTATTGCAAGCATTCTTTAAAATTTGAGTGCTTGCCATATATATGTATACTTGTTCTCTGCACCATTGCACGCAATATTGCAAAGGCAGACATGCTGCAACTTGTTGCATGCACTGTTACACAAGAAATTGCACCATGTGCCCAGGCCTTAACAATATGACCATAGGCCCTCGTGGACCCGTAATTTTTTAAAAAACTCAACAACTGTTTACAGCAGTCTTGACTGTAAAACACTCTGCCATTTGAATTTGACGTAGAGAGAAAGCAATTTCCTTGCTGTACAAGCAATTAAAACCTGGAAACAGAACAGATAAAACACCAAATCTAGAATTACAGTTTTACAATTAACTGTTGTAAAGCTGCATGAGAAACCCACAAATTATCCCGTAAGGCCCCTGGTACTTAGTTGTACAACTGCTATTGGTTAAAAACCTTCCAGTGTTAATCAAGTCAAGTATACACATTATCATGACACAGGCCCTTTAATTACTTGAAATACCTTTCGGATTGATCGTGAATGAAAGAGATCACGACACATACCTTTTGCTGCTCAATAAACTATTCATTTTGAGTGTCTCGTGTTAGTGTAGTCGGAATGAAACATGGATGGCTAAGATTTGGTAAGATTGCGAAGGATTTTGGAAGAGGAACTTGAAAAATAATCTTTCCATCTCGACTGCTGACTCACCAGTGTCGAGGCATCATTTTTATAACACCCATTAGTATGTCACTGCTGCGGATAACATGCGACAAAAACACAGTGCTTATCACACCGAACGACACCACATCTGAGCGAGTACCCATGTAGAGTAGCGTCAGGCCAACAAGCTGCAGCATCCAGCGTATGAGGTCCAGTCCTCTGCCGCTCGTCACAGGGCCGTGATAGTAACACACACAGAAGCTGATGATACCTGTAAACACAACAAGCACGTTTGGATCTTTGTCACCATGTAACAAAAGAGCATTTTTTTTTCTGGCATCCATAAATGTCATAGGGAGAGTACAAATCTTGCTGATGACTATTTTTTGTTGGTTGAAAGGCTTTTTGTTTTTTTGGAACGGCTGATGTTGTTTTATAATTTTTATTATACGGCAAAATAGTTTTGTCATATAGAATGCTCGGATAGAAAACCGAGCATTCTAATTGGTTCTTTTGTGGTTGAAATTTTGCCATACGGACCGTAAGCCGTGTAGTTTTTGTTTTGTGCCATACAATAAACTACTTACTAACCTAGCTTGCTCGGGCTGCACTGGAGAATATTGGCCCTCGGTCAATTCCCAAGTACGGCCGTCGCATCCGGACAGTAAGAGGTTAATATGCAAATGTCAGTGAAGATGTCAATCATTCAAATTCTATCACCCACAGTTCACATCATGTTTGCGACTGATTCATTTTTTCAGAAGACGGTCTCTTTCCATTTTTACTTTCTATGATTCGTGGTGTAAGTGCTCTTCATTTTGGTTCCTTTAAATCTTCTGTTAGAAAATATTTTTTGTCCAAAAACTCTTAGCTTAGTTTTTAGT